GGGACCAACGAACGTTTCAATACAATGCCACGTCCAAAACTAAAAAATTCAATTTGTCTTAAAAAAAATAAGAGTTTAAAAACCAGAAAATAATTTGAAGTAAATAAAATATTTTAGGAGATAAATTTAGAACTAAACCGGACGTGGTATCTTTTTTCGGAAAGGGCGCTTTTGGGTGACCGATATCTTCCTAAAAGCGTAACCAACTCCTTACCATAGAATCTCCGAACCGAGTGTCCGTTTTAGGTTCCTAGTTCCTTCAATACTAAGTAGCGACTCAAAACTCGTAAAGAAACTTGTAAATACCTATCTAATTTTAGATATTTTTAAGGAGTCCTGTCCGATATTGGATAACAACATTATTTAACAAGATGTGGGTTTAAGAAGACGTCATTACATTGATACGTAATTACGCCTTTACGAGAATCTTGCATGTTCCTAGTCTGGTAGACAAGTTTGGATGGTCGAACCAACTAATAGAAATATCACATATTACATCTATTAAATGAGGACACCAATTATAATGTCATCATACTCTTACAATAGAGACCTATCAAATATCAAGAATATTTATCTCTTAAGTGAGTATCAGAAGCTATTGGTAACAAGAGAATAGACCTTCCGATCATTCATCTTATGCAATTTGATTTGATGAGACTTTTGGTTATATAATCAGTTAAGAAGCCTAAAATTAAAAGTTTTGAATCTCTCTTAATACTACCACTATTCATCATCTTTCTTACATATACCAATGTCTTTTTAGACCGTTATTTTTCTCTATACATTAACTTAATCATCGAATAGTCTTTTAATCCGTTAAAAAGACATGTTTTGTAGGTATTTCAACTAATTTGATCATCATTCACCATCAAACTTTATAATTGCATCAATCAAGAAAGAGCAATCTCATCTTTGAAAGTTTAAAACCTCATCAACTACCATTTGAATCGTATTGTTATTATGGCATCGAAGAAACAACTTGTAGCGCAGCATAATAATCCTATATGTGTTTTTGCATCACATACAGCGCGCTAATGAAGCTTTTGGGCGCAATTGTGCGGTGGCATAGCTTTTCATACAGCCACGCAAACTATCACAGTTACCATCTCTCAGCTCTCTTCAGGAACAATTGCACTTGCCAAGCATATATTTGTAATCTATCAATAGAAATTCCAAAGTTTATTCAGACAGTGGTTTGTGATGAATGACAATTACTGCGTACACAGAAAGTGTAGCTAGCTAGAAAAACACGCTACTGACAAAAATCTGCACAAAAAAATACCACACCCATTTTCTTCAACAACAGAAAACACACATTACTAAAAAAGTATCATTCTTTTTCTTGAGTGAAGAGCCATGTGCAAAATAATATATATATCACTTGGAAAAGCAAGATGGAAGAATCGAATAGAGTTGAGAAATGGCCTATAGATACTGTTTTATATACTCTGAATTCAACAAACAGTGCCAGTGGATTTCAAGAAGAAAGAAAGATTAAAACAGAGAGAAAAATAAATGCAAAATGAAGGAGATACAATTCAACAGTTGCAAAATAAATATATGAACAGGTAAGGTACCTTTGATTTGAGCCACAAAGTGAGCCCCGATCTCAAACTCTAAAACAGTACAAATGGCTTCACCGATTGAGCAGATTATCAGTTATCTCTGTCCTTTAACTCACACATCAAAAGTCAACACCCAGTTGCAAAGCAGAGAGAGAGAGAGAGAATATCACTGCTCATGAAAATGCCTAACAACTTGTTTGTTTGTTTGTTATTTTAATGAAAGAAAGTTTGTAATCTGAGCCATCCACACCTCCCCCCCCCCCCCCCCCCCAAAAAAAAAAAAAAAAAAAGATACTAATGCGAATTTATCTTTAATTTAAAATGAAATTGGCTCGGTGACACGTTTTGGTCCTTAAAATTATTTCTTTTCATTTTGGTCCTTTAGTTAAAAGTTTTTTAGTTCTCAAAGTTTTTTTTAAAATATATTGATCTTTAATTTTTAAAATTTACATAATTAGATCTTTATATATTTTTTAAAAAATTAAATTAAATTAGTGGATATTAGTAAGATATAAAATAAATCACATATCCTGAAATTATACAACCGATATGTATTTTTTTTTTACCTATTTGACTTTTCATTGAACATTTCTAAATGATTTTTATTAGATAAGATAGAATGGATATTCACTTTATACCCGATCATTGTTATCCCGATCGAAACCGGGGAGGGCAGGCACTTGCAACTTGCAGATAATAGGCTTATTTTTAATTCCTCCATCACCTCAGTAGGTTTGAATCACTATTGGACAGCAGAAAGCCCAAGACTTCGGAAATCTTATTTAATCCATTGGTGCCTTGAACACTCTCTTGCGTGGATGATGACTAAGGACTTTGAAGTGCGGTGATGTGTAGTGGAAGTGGAGAAGTATAAAGTGCATAATGATAATGAACATGTCTGACTTTGTTAACTACGGCCGTTTGGCTATTTGGAACTATGGTTCGCCCTGTATGGATTCATGTGGAAAATCATGCATTGGTTTGTGAAAGATAGCAATATCCCCAGATTAATAGTTGCTACTTTAGAGTTGTACATATCAAGAATTTTAGGATGTCTTACGAAAATTAAAGAGAAAGCTTAGCTTTAAGATCATACAATAGTTTGGAGAGACTAACAGATAGAGGTGGAGCATTGGCCTACTAGCAGGGTCAGCTCCAACATGGAAAGGAGACGGAACAAACAAAGGAAGCCTGTAGATGAAGAGACAGCAGCAACAATCCTCGACAAAGCATTTGATTCGCTACAGAATCTTCATTTTCCTTTTGAAAAATGCCCGCCCCATGCGTTGACATGAATATCTCAACCAGTAGAGGAAATTGCGAGAACATGAAGAGAGTGGCAAGAAGACAAGCAAGCAAAACAATTGGAACGATAACCTCCATCATTCCATTTAACTTAACTACAAGAGCTGCACTGAAGGCAACCATCATAGCTGCAACAGAAATGAAAAATGTGGAAAGGCCGATCATCAACTTCCTGGGCAAGATAATCAGAAAATCTAGCTCTGCATAACGAGCTGTCAGGATTTCCAAGAACATCAACACCGAAGCAGACGAAGCAAAGAGAGAAATTGCATCCGATATTATAAAAGTCACGAAAGCCTTCTTATGCAAGACTACATGATTGATGCCCGTGTCTTGAATATTACCACCCGGAACTGTAAATGCTGCAGCAAACATAATTGTAATGATAAAGGCACCCACTAACGCATAAGAAATTGCCGTGCCCTTCATCCATTCCTCCCCTTCTGTCACCAACTGCTTGTGATTCCTAGAAAATACTTTCACTCGAATGGTTACGAGCAAATTTAGCTGCAGGGGTAGTGATGCTTTCTACTTCCTGTGGAAAAATCATTAAGCTTAAAATCCAAGCATATAACATTTTAGCGCAAAGAAAATTTGTGGCAACAAGTATACACACACACACTGTTCGAGCTATTTTTTCAAATTATATATGCTTGTGGTTTACAACAAATATGAACAATTTGTAAATAAATTGTATATATAAATAATACATATTGTCACCAGTAAGCTGGACAAAGAAAATAGCCAGGCCCATCCGTAAAGTGCACTATGGGCCTGGCCTGCTGGATGTGTATGCAATGTGCGTTAGGATGAAATACCAGGCCCATCCGTGCATGGCCTCTGGCCCAATCAGAAAAATAAAAGAAAAAGGAAAAATGAAAAGAAAAAATCCAGCATAGATGGAAAAAGAGAAGAAAAGGGAGTAAAAGGGAAGAACCTCACCCTATGGCTGGGTGCATACGTTACTATAAATATCGGAAATTTTATATAAATTTTAATATAATAGAGTTAATTATGAATCAGTCCCTCTAGTTTCGTAAAACGAATTAAATAGCCATTCTTAGTTCAAAATTTAATTAATTAATTTTTTACTATTAATATGGTTGATTTAATATTATTTTATTCAGAAAATTGCCTTCTTCTTCTTTTTTAATCGTATTTTTATTGTAAATATATACATGATCATGCATAGATATATTGCATTTGAATAGAAAGTTATACTTTACATTTTTCTAAACAGCGTATTTCACATGGTATTCTTTATTTTACCTTTCTTATAATGCCTTGTTATGTTTTGTTTTACTTGCAAATAATAGGGGTAACTAGTAGGGCAATATTTGGTATAAAATTGATGGGAACTGATTTGCCAACTAGTGAAATTTAGTTCCATTCTTGGTTGACTGGGTAGTTAGATAAGAACGAGAAATTTTAAAATAATAAAAAAATAACTAAAAATATTTATTTTATGAGTTCATTTTTAAGAAAGAGACAGACAAAAAAAGAAAGATAAAATCATATCCAAACTCATCAAAAGGGACAGGAACATTTGTACCAACGTTCAAATTTTTTTTTTTTGATATTTATCTATTTCTTACGAAATAAGCATTGTTAATTGCAGATAAAATTTCTTGAAAAAAAAAGCTCTCCAGATATGACCATATTACCTGATTTGTTTAGTTTCATTTGCTAGATATCACATTTATTTATGACCATGAATTATGTGAAAAAAAAATTTATCCACGTATAATTTTGCCACCAAAACTCTCCACACCAGTCTGGTTGGAGGAAAAAATAAAAAATAAAAAGTTTGATATCAGGGTTATCGTTTCTTTCTTTTTGTAATTGGACGGCCAAGATTGGTCGTTTTCATCTAATCACTATTATATTGCTGAGTAGGAAGCGGTTTAAAATAGAACATCATGTGGTATAAGGAAAGTTGTATCAAGTTTTCTTGTTTCCTTATAGGATTAAAACTGTGAATGAATATATTATAAAATACAACCATCATAGCAATTTAGAAAATCATTATCCAATATAGATTCTTCACACATCTCTCTCAAATAGAAGAAGAAAAAAAAAAAAAGGGTAAAAGATTGTTTGAATTGAATGGATAAAATCCTAGATCAGATCATGACAAGCCAAGGAAGGCGAGGCAGGCCGCCTAAGAGTTCGTTTAAGAACACTATTCTCCATTCTCCGGTCAATAACCTCCATTCCACTGTTGGTTATTTTCCACAACATATAGTAAGGAAATCAAGAACCAGAAGCAAAAAAATTCCTGTGAAAACATGGCCTCGTTCGGGTTCTGAAGATGTGGAAACGCTACCTCGATGGGATATGGAAAAAGAGAGTAGCCTACCGCGATGGATGACGAAAAAGAAGAACATAAATCCAAAGTCAAACAAGCAATCTGAGAGTATAAGTGGAGCATCAAACAATGAATGTAGTCCATGTTCATTTTCGAAATCTTCGTTGGTTCCATGGATGGCAGAAATTGTGATTCCAGGACCAATTCCGGACCTTGATTATTTGTCCGATGAAGTTGGTTTCTTAAAGAATTTTTTTGTGGGCATACCAGAAGATTAATTAACATGTTTATATTACATGTGTAGGTAGTCCTTGTGTTTTAGATATAGTTTTGATGGACAATTTGTAAGATCGGAGATAATAGATATTTCAAAGCTTATTAATCAAACAAATTTGTTGACCCGGCTACTGAATTCAATTTGCCAATCTATTTGTAACAAAAAGTAAACAAATAGGATTAGAAAAAAAACCAATAAATCTATAACTCACTAATTCACTGTGTCAATAATGAGTTAGTGTAATGATAATTGAGCTCTTCGTACGTTACTCACCTATAAGGTAGAGGGTCCGAATCTCGCATATCGCAACAGCTACCCAGAGCCGTGCTAGAGGAGTTCAAGCAACGTACTGTCTTGGTGCTAGAGGGTTTGATCTTGGATCTATTTTTCAGTTGCATGTCATGTTAAGTTGTTTGGTGTAGTTTTTTATGTTCATGATTTTATGGTTTTTGTTTGTTGATGTTTGATAGATTTTAACTCGGGTAGATGCTAATTAGGTAACTTTGTTCCTTTAAAGTTGCAATAAAATGAATTGAGTCATGTAGTGACTCTATAATTCATGATTGCATCAAGAGTTCTGATGATAAGTAGCATTTTCTTGCCTAATGAATAACTATTTAGGATGTGCATTATTGAATATTGCCATATGACATGTAGCCTTGACCTTTATTAATATATTGTATTCACTTTAGCTGAAATGATGTTGATTTGGAGTGCAAATATGTTTTTTATTACTAGTAAAATTGAAAAATAATTAGTATTGTGAGTGTGGTAAGGATTGGTGTAAGTTTTCGATACTCTTTTTTATGATTGTCTTAAGCTTCTAATTCGAGCATGCAATTGCAGAATAAAGGTATACAGCTTCAAATTTTTAGTTAATGGTTGTATTGCTAATCGAGTGACAACTTGATATTAGCTTTTTATTTGTTAAAAAATAATATAAATCATATCGTATGATCTTATCTAACAGTTTAAACTTTTAATTTGAAATGATTTTTGGATATAGTATCGAGCTTTGCTAACATAATGATTAAGAGTTCGAATCTTACAACTTCGCTTTATCTTTTAATTAATTAAGCATAAAGGAGTATAGGTCTTTACAAGTTTCAAACTCAAGAGATTTTCACTCGAAGAGGTATGTTCGAGAATAATATAAATTATATCTTAAGATCTCATCTAACAATTTGATTTTTTTTATTCGGATGGTACTTTGACATTGTTGTTGAAAACTTATTTATTATTCTTTGGTTTAGTTTTCTGATTAAATATTGAAATATATTTAATTTACAAAAAATTTCATACATTTGAATTTTTTTTCAAGGATAACACTATTGGGATTTCCTTAAATGCTTGTTGTAACGTACAACAACTTGACTAGTAAGAATTAAAACTGGAGATAATTAATAAGAACCGGACTATTTCAACTAACTCATCCTTAATCCAAGTATAGTACCACACAAAGGAGAAAATGAGTTTTTTAACTATGAGAATCGAAACTCTTAATGTCATTATTCAAAGATATTTTTTTTATCACTCCATCTACGATCTTTGATGATGGGTGAGGAGACCATAATCTTAAAAAATGAATGTAATTATAAAATATCCTACCCAATGACACAATCACCTTATCAGTCATTTTAACAGTAAACTATAGAGTAACTTCAAAAAAAAAAAAAAAAAAAACAATGAAACAAAATTGACAAGAATACCATGTCTGAATGAGCATTTGGAGCATTAAAGGTTAGTATAGAGTTGTTAGACTCTTAATAATCATGCATATTATTATATACTATCCATGAAATGAAATACATAAATAAATTAATTTTCAAGAGTGTGCTGAATAATTGTTTTTTCCGTTCGGATTTGAGTACGAAAAGCCCACCCAAAAAAAAAATAATCCTTAGTTTTTTCGCCACGCAGTTTAATCTCGGTCACTCCCTCAAAAATAGAATTTTCGAATTCAAACGAATATAAGTATAAAAATCTTTATAAATTAATACAATATTTCAAAATTTTAAACAATAGTGTTAAATATTTTATTGATTTTTCTACAAAAAATTTTACCATAAATTTAGGTCTTTCGTAATCATTTTAATTCAAATAACACAAAAATAAAATTATTAATAACACAATATTATAGTAACAATTTAATTGTTTTACCTTATACCATATCGAAATAAAACGGGACAAAATTGACTCTAGATGGGCTTAAATAGATTATCCAAAGCCTTTATGGGCTTAAAAAAATAATTAAAAAAAAAAGGCACCAAAGTAGGGATTCAAGAACGTTCAAAGACAAGCCGAAAGTTGTTGCAAGATAAGGTTAGTTGGTCAAAATCTATCCTTCAACTTAAGGTTAACAAACTTTTAATCCCTAACGTTTTTTAATCTCATTTAGGTCCTTGACCTTTTCTTTTGGTCCATAATATCTCTCTAAAATTTGCCTAGTTTTTTGGTTTAATTCAAGAACATCCCTTTCAGGTTAAATTCAACAAATGTATTTAATGTCACCTGTTGACGGGTAATTCTGAAACACGTGTCCCACTTTTAAAGATGGGCATATGACGTGCGATCAAATTTAATATAGGATAGAAACTTGGATAAAAGTTCACAACTTGGACTTAAAAAATAAAAATACTTTAGGGTCTAAATGGGGTGTAAAAGAAAGTAAATTATAAGTTAGTCACTCTTATTTAGAGAAATGAATTAATTGATCTCTTTCTTTTTAAAAACTAATAATTTGCTCTTTTACGGTTTAATTTCACCAATAACTTAATCATTTTATCAGCTTTTTATATTAGTGAGTTACGTTATTAAAATTCTCTCTCACTCTCTCTCTTTCTCTCTCTCTCTCTTTATATATATATATATATCAAATGATTAGTTTTTAAAACAAAAATAAGATATCAAAAGAAAGATAATTTTTTTTAAAAAAAAATCACTAATCTAACGAAAAATTGATTAAAAAAAACTAAGTTATTGACGAAATTAAAAAATAGAGAAACAAATGATTAGTTTTTAAAACAAAGAAAGCAAATTAATTAATTTTTTTAAAAAAAAAAACCAAAGAGACTAATTTATAATTTACTCAAAAAAAGGGAGGGAATAAGTTCTTGTTGACAAAAGTCTAGGTAGTTGTTGACCAAGTCGCTGCAAGATAATAAAAGCCGGCAAAAACCATCACTTTTGTCCCTTATGTTTCTGGTGAATAAACATAAACAAACTGCAATTCATGGGATTTACAAATGGAATTAGATAAAGATGACATTATATTCGGACCATGAATGTTCTTGTCTAATGGATAAATGTTCCACCTTGCTGATAGGAACTAAGCTGGGGGCAGAACTGAGCTTATAGCATATTGTAAGATCCTGCAGGCAACCTCCTTAAGAGGTTGAGGGGAACTGAAGGAAGCTTATGGCGGAACCTGGGATGTCGTAGCAGATAAATGCCGGTAAGAAGGACTGTAACTTGGAAAGGAATGACATAGAGAACTATGGCAGCAATTAAACAGAATGTCACGAATAACATGGTAGCTCTCGGGTCTCTACAAATTATCAGAGACTGAAATCTTTCCCCTAGAGTTGCGAGATCACCAGCTACTGTCTGAACCCTCCCTACAACATTTCTGAGACGATCATATCGCATTCTGACAAAATCAGACGGTCTGGAAGTTGGGAATGTGTCAAATTCTTCATCAAGTTCATCAGCATGAGAAAGCGGCGAATCCATCTGAGGAAAGCGCCTTGTTCTCCACCGTAAGTTCCAGAGTTCGAACTGGGAAAGACCGAGGAATGTGTAAAGTTCTTCGTCAAGTTCATCAGGAGGAGCAGCATCAGCTCGAGAAAGCTGGGTGTCCACATGAGGAGGGTGCCTTGGTCTCCTCCGGAAGTTCCAAAGTCTGATCAGGAAAAGGTAGAGGAAAACTGTGGGGAGTATTAGCTCCGGATAAAGGACCAAGATTATGAAAAAAAATGTGAATTAAAATGGTAGTCCGAGGTTCTTCCAATGGCAGATTTGATCAAACCATTTCCAGTAAGTAATTAAGACATGTAGAACACCCATAATTCTGAAAAAGTTAGCTTTGCTCCTCCTCATGCTCCACATATGAGAATCTACATGTAGCATATATTCCACAACCTCTTTTCGCAAAGGTGGCTCAGCCCTGCTCAGCTTCATCAAGACAATCCGCTGCGCTTGGTGCCTCAATGCTTGATTTCCAAGGGTGCCCTTCACAAATACTTCAGGGAGCCAACTTTCGTCAGTAGGCACCAAGTCCTGAGCTTCGATCACATTAACTCTAACATACCAAAGCGTGAGTGAAAGATGTACCTTCGATCGTATGTTCTTAACAGCATCAGGACCAACTTTGGCTTGATCTAAATGACATGCATCAGGGAATGCGTCATCTGCTTGAGTTCCCATCCAAACAGCTAGCATCAGCTCCCCAGCGTTAATCTTATCCCCCTTTCCATCTTCAAGTCTATACCACTCTGGTGCCAAAGGACTATCCGGTGGAACCCATTTTAGCTCTTTATTGAGATCAAACATCATCCTACCAATCAAATCATCTAAGACAAAATCCTTCACAACCACCACCAACGCTGAAGATTGAATTTTTTTCTTTTGAGATAGCAAAAGAAACCAAAATATGTTCCTCAAACTTTTTTTTTGAAAAAAAAGACCAAAAATGCAAAAAAATAAATCATAAGAGCCAAAAAAATTTCTTAAAAATTATAAGGATTAAAATAAATTAGTAGATATTAATATGATAAAATGTGGATAACCATATTCCGAAACTATATTAGTTGATTGTATTTTTTTTATTATTATCCACTTCAATATCCATTGAATATTTTTAATGAGTATTTATTGTATCGGATAAAATAAGTACTCACTTTATATCCCGTCCATTGTTATCTCGAGTTGTGAGAGTAATAAAAAAATTAGGCAAAGCCTTTATTGGCTTAAAAAAATAAAAACCAAAATAGGGATTCCATCCATCAAAGACATGCCAAAAAGTTGTCGCAATATAAGATTAACTTATGGTGAAAAAAATAAAAATCTTTCAATTTTTTTAATCTTATTTTTATTGTAAATATATACATGATCATGCATAAATTTTTTTTTATTGATAATGATGAGCATTTATCTTATTATATATTATTCATGATATAAAAAATATAAACAAGTTAATTTTTACACTACTTTCCAATTGAGATAAATACAAGTATAAAAATCCTAGTAAATTAATATCATACCTCACATTTTAAATGATAGTATTATCATTATCATTGCAAATGTGGTGAACCTTCAAAATATGCTTTTCAAACTCAGTATAAATTTTAAAAACTGAAAAACTAGTTTTTCAATTCTTTAGATAGAGAAATATTGCATTTGACCAGAAAAAGTTATAATTTACATTTTTTTTTCTAAATATTGTGTATCACATGGTATTCTTTTTTTACCTTTCTTGTAATTCCTTGTTATGTTTTGCTTTACTAGCAAATAATAGCAGTAACTAGTAGGAAAAGATATGGTGTAAAATTGATGAGAATTTATTTGCCAACTAGAGAAATTTTAATTCCATTCTTGGTTGATTGGGTAGTTGGGGAAGAATTAAGAGAAATTTTAGAATAATCAAGAAGTAATTAATAATAACGATTTTTGGAATTCATTTCGAGAGGGGTGAGAAAATCACATCCAAACCCATAAAAAATAATAAGAATATTTTCACTTAGGTTCGGTTTTTTTTTCTTTTTTATAACTCTTCTCTTATATTTTTTTCTCCTTATTTGTGTCTATCCATCTCTTATAAAGTAAGCATTGTTAATTACTTTTGAAAATAAACTTTCTAGAAAAGATATTCCGACAATAATTATCCGACTTGTTTAGCTCCCAGATATCATATTTATTTAGAATAAATTATAAATTAATTCCATCTTGTTTCGAGAAACAAATTAATTAGTAATTCTAGTTTTGAAAACTAATTATTTAGTCTTTTTTATTATTTTTTAATTTATTTTATTTTAAGAAATAGAAAATGAATAAAAAATAAGTAAAAATATAAAAAGATTGATAAGAAAATAAAACAATTTTAAAAAAATATATATATTAAATTAGTCCTCATCAACACTCGCTTAAAAGAACTAAATAATTAGTTTTTCAAACTAAAAAGATTAATTAATTCGTTTCTAAAAATGAGATGGACTAATTTATAACTTACTCCATTTATTTATGACAATAGATTTTGTATATATATAAGTATGTATCCATGTGTAATTATGCCACCAATTTTTTCCACACCGATCTAGTTGGAGAGGAAAAAATTAAAAAATTTAATATCAGAGTTGCCATTGCCTGCTTTTTGTAATTGCACAGCCTAGATTGGTCCTTTGCATCTAACCACCATTGTGGTATAAGGAAAGTTGTATCAAGTTTTGCAATTTCCATATAGGATGAGGTTTGTAAATGATTTTACTATAAAACACAATAATCTAGCGAGTTAGAAAATGATTATCCAACATAAATTCTTCTCTTGAATCTCAAATAGAAAAAGAAAGGAAAAATCTAAATGATTATTTGAATTGGACAGACAAAATCCTAGATTAGATCATGACAAGCCAGCGTGGGAGAGGCAGACCACCTAAGAGTTCATACAAGAACAATGTTCTCGATTCTACTGTTGGTTATTTTCCACAGCATATAGCAAGGAAATCAAGGACCAGAACCAAAACAATTAGCGTGAAATCATCGTCTCGTTCGGGTCTTGAAGATGCGAAAACGCTATCGCAATGCGTTAAGGAAGAAGAGAGTAGCCTACCGCAATGGGTTACGAAAAAGAAGAAAGTAAATCTAAAATCAAACAAGCAATCGGAGAATATAAGTAGAGCATCAAACAATGAATCTAGTCCAAGTTCATTTTCGAAATCTTCGGTGGTTCCATGGATGGCAGAAATGGTGATTCCGGGACCAATTCCGGACCTCGATTATTTGTCCGATGAAGTTGATTTCTTAAAGAATTTTTTTGTTGGCATACCAGAAGACTAATTTTGATGAATAATTTGTAAGATCGAAGATAATCGATATTTCAAAGTCTTTTGATAAAACAAATTTGTTGATCTGACGACTGAATTCAATTTAACAATCTATTTGTAACAAAAAGTAAATAAATAGTGAGCTCTTCGTACGTCACTTGCATATCGCAACCGATGTTGGGGGCATGTTGCATTAAAAACATCATTTTTACACTTTAACATACTAATGATTGTGCTTTTTTCTTCATTGTATTTTTATATTTTATTATTTGTTTTATTTGGTTAGACACACTTATTAAAAAGTGATTATGCTAATGAGATTTATTGTCTCGGAGAGAGAGGGTTTGATCTTGGAGGACGAGGTGGAAATCTTGGATCCACTTTTCATGCTATGTTATGTTGTTTAAGTGTTGTTTTTCAAGTTCATGAGTTTATGGTTTTTGTTTGTTGATGTTTACTAGATTTTAATTTCCTTAGATGCTAATTAGGCAACATTTTCATTTAAAGTTGCAACAAAACGAATTGAGGCATGTCCTGCTTCCGTAATTATCTTAATTTCTCCGGTAATATTAAAATTAAGGTTCTAAATCAATTTTAAAATAAATAAATAAGTTCAAATGAATTATAAATTAGCCGCTCTTGTTTTGAAAAATCGAATCAATTTTTTTTAAAAAAAAAAACTAATTATTTAAATTTCTACATTTTAATTCTATCAATAACTTAATTTTTTTTTATCAGTTTTCTAGATTAATTATTTTTTAAAAAAATTATCATTCTTTTTATGTCTTATTTATTTCTTTCACCCACTCTTTTTCTCTCTCCTAAAAAAAAAACAACTTAGGAACAAAAAAAAAATCATTAATCTAATATAAAACTGATGAAAAAATTAAATTATTGACAAAATTAAAATATAAGAGACTAAATAATTAGTTTTTTTAAAGAAAAGAAACTAATTTATTTATTTTTCTAAACAAGAGGGACTAATTTATAAATTAATCGAATAAGTTCTTGCTGACAAAAGTCTAGGTAGTTGTTGACTTTACCAAATAGCTGCAAGATAATAAAATGCACTAATTTTCTAACACACATTGAATAATTAAGCCTTCAGGCAAAAACCATCATTTGTCCCCTACGTTTCTGGTGAATAAACATAAACAATCTGCAATTCATGGGATTTACAAGTGGGATTAGATAAAAAAAGACAATATATCCGGACCATGACTGTGCTTGTCTAATTGATGCACGTTCCGCCTTGCTGATAGGAACTAAGCTGGAGGCAGAGCTGAGCTTAGAGCATGCTGTCAGATCTTGCAGGCAACCTTCTAAAGAAGTTGAGGGGCACTGAAGGAAGCTTGTGGCGGAACCTGGGATGTCGTAGCACATAAATGCCAAGAAGAAGGACTACAACCTGGAAAGGAGTGACATAGAGAACTATGGCAGCAATTAAACAGAATGTCACGAATAGTGTGGTAGCCCTCGGGTCTCTCCAACTCAGCAGAGACTGAAATCTTTCCCCTTGAGTTGCGAGATCACCAACTACGGTCTGAACCCGCCCTCCGATACTTCTTAGACGATCATATCGCATTCTGACAATATCTGATGGCCTAGAAGTTGGGAATGTGTCAAATTCTTCATCAAGTTCATCAGGATGAGCAGCATCAGCATGAGAAAGCCGGGTGTCCATGTGAGGAGGGTGCCTTGGTCTCCACCGGTAGTTCCAAAGGCCGATCAGGAAAAGGTAGAGGAAAACTGTGGGAAGTATTAGCTCTGGATAAAGGACCAATATTATGAAAAGGATGTGAATTAAAATGGTAGTCAGAGGGTTCTTCCAATTGCAGATTTGATCAAACCATTTCCCAACAGCAATTAAGCCACTTAGAACACCCATAATTCTGAAAAAATTAGCTTTGCTCCTCCTCATGCTCCACATATGCGAATCTACGTCTAGCATATATTCCACAACCTCTTTTCGCAAAGGTGGCTCAGCCCTGCTCAGCCTCATCGAGACAATCTGCATTGCTTGGTGCCTCAAGCTATCAAGCTGCATTACTGACAATGGATGGATGTAGTGCATTTTCGGCAACAATGGATGTGAATACATGTGCAGCATATTAACTAGAGATAAGCATGTGAACCTCACAGCTAAGTGAACTTCACCCGTCTTCTTCACCCCAGAAGAATGCAAGGCCAGAAGAGGGTAGGAGTGTGTATAAACTCTATCAGTTTCGAGTGTAGATAGACGAATCCTCACTTTCCCAATTCTTGAGTCCTTTCCCCCTCCACCACCATGTAGGTGACCATTATCAAAAACCCCAATAGTAATGACAGTACACGGGTCGAAAACCTCCCAAATGTACTGCTCATTCCACCTCGGAGAGAAGCTGTCGACAATTGTCCTTGTCCGGACCCATTTCTGCCCATATTTGGCTACACAATAGGCATCTGTCGTACCTCGGCCATCCTTTGTCTTCATTGGCATCAGCCCCACAGCACTTAGAACCCCCAGTTCGAAAATCCCAATGCTAGGTCTCCATAACTGCTTTGCTGTTGGCCTAAGGTCACTTGTGTAGTGAGTCGATTCGTCCAAAACATGGTACCCTCCATCTAAACAGATCCTCAAATGAATTCTGCTGGCAAACTTGGTATCCTTCTTTAGTTCCCCATCAACAACCACATGCTTCTCAAGATTAAACCACCTAGTGTTAACTGGCTTGTGGTCTAACCTCCTCTGCACAAGTTGCAAAGGGATCACACACTTCCCCAGAACTTCATCTTTATTTGGTCCCAATCTATCCTCTGCAGTCAAAATCAAAGGCTCCTCAAAAGGTTCGGCAGCTACAAATACCAAGTCCTCATTCCACATTGGATTGATAGTCTTAATTGGAGATGTTCTAGTTCTCAATGCTTGATTTCCAAGGGAGCCCTTCACAAATACTTCTGGGAACCGACTTTTGTCATTAGGCACCAAGTCCTGAGCTTCGATCACATTAACCCTAACATACCAAAGCTTGGGTGAAAGATATACCTTAGATCGGATGTTGTTCACAGCATCAGGACCAACGCTGGCTGCATCTGAATGCCAAGCATCAGGGAATGCCTCATCTGCTTGAGTTCCCATCCAGACAGCCAGCATCAGCTCCCCAGCCTTAATCTTATCCCCCTTCCTATCTTCAAGTCTATACCACTGTGGTGCCAAAGGACTATCCGGTGGAACACGTTTTGGCACTTCATTGACATCAAACATCATCCTACCAATCAAATCATCTAAGACAACATCCTTATCCTTCACAAACACCTCCAACACTGAAGCTTGAATTCTATCTTTTGAGAAAGCAAAAACCTGATTCCATTCTGGGTTGCTTTTCTTCTCAAAATGCTTAGTAACTCCCTTGTAATTTCCTAGCTTTACTTCAACATAGGGATCGCAGCTGCCAGTTACATCTTTGGAAGGCAAATCTCTAGCTTTCACCACACGAACATAAAGATATTGCATCTGCTCAACAAGGTCATAGGTGCAGGAAAGCTTATCACCAGTGACAGATCCCGCACCAATGTTTGGTGAGGTCTCCTTTAGAGCAAAGTCAACAGATTGCGGTGGCTTCTGCATTTTTCTTAATTTACACTAAAGAAACCAGAGATATGCAAGGAGCACTCAACAATCACACAAGAAAAGATGGAGGCTTTTGGAATGAGGATATTGAAACAGGATATGGATTTAACAGAAGTGAATGAAACTTCACGAGATGACAAGGCTTCAAATGGTAAAAACCCAACTTTGTTCTTGTGATTTCCAGGCTAATTGGACAAATTTGAGATACTAAACTCTATGATGGCATCCAAGGAAGCTAAGAACTATTTTGACTGCAATAGCTCAAAGAAGGTAACTATGGAAGCACAGGAAACAAAGGATTAAAGAACTTTATAATTCATCATCCAGAACAGGGTTACAGAGCATCATTAGGCACTTCAATTGGAAGCTCTTAGACCAGAAACCACAAATATCTGCAAAAACAAAGCAAGAAAATCACAGGGTTAATATTTACCCTTGTAGCACTCCTCCAACTGCTGAGAAAATGCCATGGGGTGACATAATATGGAAATAAAACATAAACTGCCTTTTTATTCAGCCCCAAGATGGATATTTTTCTCAATTAGGACCAATGATGCATACTTCACGCTTCAAAAGTCAAAAACACAATAAACAAAGTTCCTTTCTATGTACACTTTCAAAAAAACCAAAAAAAATAAATCCCACGTTAATCACCATGAACTTGTTGGACTCCAGTGACAAAGAATGTGGTGTTTTCAACAGTAACACAGTAGATCTACTGCAATAAATAAACAAACAAACAATTGAACAACCTATGAAATCAAACAGAACAAGCAACCCTTAAGCAAACGAAACTACTAAAGTCCTACTTTTTCTTAGCTGCAAGAAACACATGTAAGTAAAATATGCACCATTTCCATTTACTTAAAAGAGTGAACAAAAACAGCTTAAAGTCTCAACAACTACTCAAACCAACTTCAAAATACACTACCCTTTGAGTTTCTACATTGCATTATCAAGAAAAGAGGAGTAAAAAAATGCAGTACCTTAGTGGTCAGCAACAAGCTACGGCTGAAGCCAAGAACCCTTCTTTAAAGAGCGAAAAATGGAATAGTAAGAGAACAGTGATGGAGCTTGAAAAGTGATGGAACTAATGAAGAAATGATGAGCATGTGGGGTGAGATCTATTAAAGACTGAATCTACTAAGCAAAAGAAAAGAAGAGAAAATAGTGTACCTACTCACTACCAACTTTCTTTAAACCCTTTTTACAATTTTCTTTCTCTCTCTTTTTTTTAATTATTATCACCTTTTCCTGATTTATATTTTATTCTTTTCTCCGTCTTAAAAAAATTGTGATGTTTACCCATATTAAAAAATCATTATTTATTATATTATATCACCAATTTTTATTCTTATTTTTTAATTATAAATCATTTGTAAAATGAGTTTTAAATAAAAATATTGTATTAAATTATATGGTTTAAATGTTTTGCTAAACAATTATTTTAAGACAACTAAAAAAAATAAAACAAAAAATAATTTCTTTTTGGACAGAAAGGGTCCATAATTTATTACAAGGAGAAAGACTTGTGTTTTGGTCTTTTAATGTACCGTATGATCCGATTATTTAGGTTTTGGAAAGTGAGACACACGTGCGAAGAGCTTGGTCGGTCTAGGCACGTGAAGGGATGGACTTGGACTTGGACTTTGAGTTTGGTCTTTCTTTTTTGGAATTGGGAGGAAGATTAAAAAAAAAAAAAAACTCTTCTTTCCATCTTGTTTTTCTCATGAGATTTGCTAGGCCGCCCGTCGAGAAAATGAAAAAAATAATATTTGGAACAAGGTTTTATGTTTTATTGATTTTTTTAAAACTACAGATAGGGTTCTAAAAGTTAGTGTCGGCAGTTAATAGTTAATAAAACAAGAAAAATAATTATATTATTAAGACGAACTGAATTGACTATCATTATAAAAATAAATAACTAATCTAATTTTTTTTGTAATGACTTAAAAAAAAATCAAATTTTGACTTGTAATCTATTACGAATACAAAAAACCTTACTGGCAATAAACAAAAAATTTATTGGTATAATATTTTATTGATTAGTTCTGATCCAATGTAAAAATTAATAAAATAAGATAATTATGTTTGTTGATGACACGAAATTGCAACATATGATTTGTCTATACAGTGAATATAATAACTTCCGATAATAAATCATATTAAATTATAAATTATGAAATATTTGATCTTCTATTTTTTTATATATATTTAATTACAATTTTCTAATTATCTTGTTCGATTGATTCTACGTGCTTGATAATCTTCTCTGCATTATACCCTCCAATACTTTAATTAGCTAATAATTGCATATTTTTGTTAGTGGGTCCAATGGGGTCACTTTAGCCTTGCTACGCATGCGGTCACTTTAGCCCTGCAGGCATGCCATTTTGGGATAAAAGGTTAAGTAGTTGATATGTAATTTGGTGGTAATTTTTTTTTAATTCACATATCCAAAGTTTATAATAAAATTAAAATTTGAAACTGTGATTTTTTAAACCTGGGGTAATTAATTGAAAGTTTTTCACAAGTGAAAAACATGATAAATGCAGCACTTTTTATTGACTGATCATTGATTTATTGATGTGACAATAAACTCATGATGCTTTTACAAGTTTTAGATTTTTGTGATCATAATTATTTTTTATTGATAACATGACAAAATCATAGTGATAAAAAAGTGATTATAAGAAAAAGATTCATTTTATTACTAAAACTACAATGAATAAACCCCTCTTTCATGAATAATTCTATTTTCAAATAGAATTAAGATAGCATTTTATTTACAGCAGCCTTCTATCATTTTCAAATAGAAATTTTTTATCTTTCTATTTACATATATTTCAAATTATTAACTTGATCACAAGTTTAAATAGTGTATTTTTTAAAAAATATCTTTAATTAAAATTTATTTTATAAAAAAACTATCCAACTACAATTTAAAAAAAATAGATGAATAAAAATATTTTCATATAACATAACAATTAATAACTTAATACATCTTCTTGAAGTAAAAAATATTCATTTTTACATAATATTTTTTACCTAAGCAATATTTCTTATCGATTTACGATAAAACTATCAATTTTTTAAATAAGAAAAATATTTATTATTTTAAAATTTCGTCTTTTAAGATTAGCAACGCATTGTAATTTGAACGCTGCATTAATGTATTATTTACACGTTGTGTGATTTATTAAAAAAAAATTCATTTATTAAAAATTATAGTTTTAATATAAGGTACGGTCATAATCACAGTGCTGGACCTCGTAAACGACAATAAAGGCAACAATACAACGTAACACGTTCTACGAAATCCTTTACCCGAATCCGCAAACAGCTTTGAAAGTAGAATTAGTCCTTGACTTACGAGGGCATTTCCGTCATGTGAAATTAGCGATTCTCCTTTAATATATTGACGTGGAAGTTGCAATGTCGATTAGTATAGTCAGTTCCGGGATTTCCGACATTTACTGAAAAGTTTGCAGTGTCGTTTCTTCTCAGCTAAGAACACGCTCGCATTGGATCCGTGGAATATTCTTTCTAAACCTCATTTTATAATATTTTTTTGTGATTGCACATGTATATCAACGGTCTAAATAAAATTCATGTAAATTATAATAATTTTTTTCGCTGAACGATTTGGGTATAATTATTTTTAGATTGTTTAAAAAATGATAGATAAAGATAATGATTTAATTATATGTCTTTTAGTCTCTTTTTTTTTGTCTTTTTCTTGCCCTTTAGATTAAATACGATTAGTGTAATTTATATTAATTTTTTTAGAGAATTATAATAAAAAAAGATAGAGATAATAAATTAAACCAATATATTGAAATCTATACATTTTTTTTTACTAAATTATCAATTTAGTAATTTTATTACCAACGTATGGAAGAATTTATTGAATTCTTTGGTAATGCACCAGACAAATACTAGAGATGAATTTTATTTTAATTAATGCATGAATCAATATAAATTTTATTTTAATTGATGCATAAATTTACGTGAAGATATATTTATAGTCAAACTAAAAAAATAATATATAAATAGATCTAATATAATTAATTGGTCACTCAAAGAGAAATTTTATAGTACTAAACGAGTAACTAATGATATATATAATAGTTATTATATGGATCCACTTTGAGAAAAGAGATAAACGCATAAAAAACATAGAGAATTAAATCCGGATCCACTAAAAATGATAAAGAAGATTTTCACGTTTACTCGATTTTTTTTTAATTTTCTCTTTCTTATTTTTTTTCTTTTTATGTGTCTATCTCTCTCCTCAAAATGGATCCATGAAGTAACTACCGTATATACATTGATGATATATATACATTAGTTACTCTATAAATCAACTTTGAGAAGAGAGATAGACACATAAAAAGTAAAAAGAATTATATCTTAACCCGCTAAAATTGATAAAAAAAAATTTACATTCGCTTATTTTTTGTTTTTTTAATTTTCTCTCTTCTATTTCTCTCTACTTTTTACGTATCTATCTCTTTTCTCAAAATAGATTAATAAAATAAATATTATATATATTATTAATTACTTCTTTTAAGTATTATAAAATTTCTCGTAACTCATTACACATATTGATCCCGGACAAGGGATTGGATTTTTCATGTTGGAGAATCAAAACAAACTCAAAGGGTAGCCACAAATTATTTAGAGGACAGTCGTGCCAGAGCTGGAAGTAGAAGAGTTGATTGAATTTGTTTTGTCACGAAGTACATTAAAAGGTTGTCCAAACCCAAAATTACCATTTACCTGAATGGCTAGCTTCATTGTCCCAGTATTGAAACGTTGACAGCAACTGCTAACCTATTTGATCCCAAAGTCATCGTCAATGTTTTTTATTGATAAGAATATGGAAATTGCATGTCCAATCCTTTTAACTTGCAGTTGATAAAAATAATGAGAAAGAACTGGAGTTAGGTGCATTTGGGTTAGAAAAGCACATGCTTTTCTGTCTCTTTGTCTTGCTTGTACAATCTACACAAGATAGCCTCAAGTTGTTGCAATTATGATGGTATTAGGTTTTGCTACTCACCTATAAGGGAAAAGGAAGTAGATTGATGTTGAAGATTTCAATTCCCTAAAAATGAAGTTTTTTTTTTAAAAAAAAAATTATACGTGTATTAAAAATAGTTTAATTCCCAAGTTCAGTTGAACTAACCGTTTCATGTTGACAAAAAAAATAAAAAAAATTGAATTGAGTTAATTAGGTTTTGCATCCTATCTTGAATGTTGATGTTGACCATAACAAAAAAAAAAAAAAAAAAAGTTATAATCTATTATTGGAGGGTTTAGGATTTAGAATCAGAAGACAATTAGGATTCGCATCATAATTTTTTTTTTTTTAGTTTTTTCCCAATATCTTTATCTCATATTATAAATAAGATTAAGCATGTTCGGTCCGAAGGCGATAAAATTTAACTTTTCTTAATAAGGTCGATTAAATCTTATATTTTGATAAAAAAAAAAAGCCAACAATTTATTGGTTGCATCATAATCTTTCATTATGCAGATTAATACTCATTAATCCTTAGAGGCATTGGCTCAGATGTGGACAGCCTTCTTAAGATCCAATCGAAGAAAAAAAAATGTAGTTTTAGCGTATGAAAATTTATCCGACAGTACATTTGTAGTTATGATCCGATAGACTGATCTAGTTCAACCGTAAAAAATAATAAATAAATTCTTGAATATTGATTTTAGGCTTGCTTTCTTAATTCTTGAGGTAACACGGGCAACTGGGCAAAGCCCGAATTCAAAAACATTTTCCCTTTCCCTAGCTTTGTAGAGCTTAAAGAGAATAATATCAAGAAAAAAACATTGATTTGTAATGTTCTTGATGACAAAACCAGACACAAAGAATATCACTTGTGTAACTGTTCTTCTTCTTGTTTTTTTTTCTCCCCTCAATCCCTCCTTCATCAGACATATCAGAGAAGGGTTAAGTTTCCGTCTAACAGCTTGCTCTTTGTACGGTTGTAGAATTGCAATAATGAAATACTTCTACCTCCTCTTACTTGCCATCCCACAATTCAATGCTTCCTGTCTAGGCAGACATAGCCCTGGCCATTATTCTAACATGTTACAATGTATCCTGTCATAATCTCGTGTCAATGTCTGAAGTTAAGGACTGGGGTCTCATCGTTAATAAGTTTGGAAACTTACGAACCTACATGTTCCCTGCATATTCTCAATTGAGTAAGAAGGGCGATCTGTTTATACGTTTTTAATTACATTTATTATATTTTAAAATATTATTTAAATCTCTAATTTGTTTCTTAAAAAATTTTGAACATATATATGAAATGATCCATAATTTAGAAGTCTAGCCTCTTAAAATACGATAATATAAATCTTTATGTGTAAATCCTTACGGGTCAAATATATTAATAGAATCTTTAATCTATGGTTTCAAACCATTAACATATCTTGGATCGATAATTTTTTATTGTAGCTACGAGTTTAACTCATTGGACCATTTAACATGTGTGTAAATTTTTATGTGTAAATTCTCATAGATTAAATGTGTTAATGGAATCTTTAATCTATAATTTCAGAACAGTAATATATCTTGGATCGACAGTTTTTGACTATAGCTATGAGGTTAACTCATTGGATCGTTTAACATTGAATTAGATTCAAAAAACTTCAAAACCAGATCGATAGTTTTTTTCAGCTATTGTTACGCTCATGCCGTTTCATAAATTCCAAAACTCATTTGTTCCGCATCATTTTTAAATATTGTTTAAATCTCAAACCTGTTTTTCCAAAAATTTGGAACTTATATATGAGATGACCCCATAAGTCTAACCTTTTAAATTAAGATAATATTTATTTATTGATTTTGTGTAAATCATCACGTGTGCAGAAAATAACGTGCGGACCTAAGTGACTCCCAAATGCAAATTCTTCCCAACGTATTTTGTGTCAAGGTCTTAAGTTAAAGACTGAGGACTCATCGTTAATGATATTTGCATGTTCCCAAATATAAATGTACACTTACCTCAGCAGTTTGTCATGTATCAATTTGGAAGACAGCAGCATTAAAGAAACTATGCCACTAAACATAGACATCACTTTCTTTATACCATTGTATCTAGCAGAATTAATACAGCAAACTAAACATAATTTTCTTGCAAGGTGGTCAGGAACCAATTCAATGAAGTGGTTCCCTTCATATTGAGTTCAGCAATTGAAGGTGGTCTGTCAAATGGCTGAAAATGGCAAATAACCAAAGCCTCATAACCCACTGCAAATGTTTCCTGAAGAAAACATCTACAGAATGCGGCAACGGGTATTCAGCTCCGGCGATGATTGGAACTATTTTCTTTCCCAGTTTAAGTCGTACTATCTGGATTAATTTTCGCATATCAAGACCAAGTCTCTCGGGTTTTAGACAAGCCATTCACAATAGAATAGTGCATTCACCATAAATTTCTTTCTCAAAGCCTCATTTTGTATTGAACCTTAGTTGATGAAGTGAACAGCAAACCCACTCATGACACAACCAGAGGCAAGCAGCAAGCTTCTTTATTTATACTTATATGGGTCGCAGTATGAGTTTAAATGATACTTATGCAATCTTCACCCTCTTTCAGCGTACACACTAACTAATAATAAGAATCATACACCTCCATTAGCTGTTGCATTTTCATTGGAATAATACCTTTCTGCTGAAAAGTTCAAACTTATTTTATACCATTTCAACAATATCTCTTTCCCCCCTGCTAGGTCTCGAAAGTGTTTTTAGTTGCATATGGTGATGACATTGGTCCTCAAAACTTTTTCACCTGAACTAGTGCTCCATTCTTGTTTCCAGATTCAAGCATTGCATCTAGAACAGCAACATCTCTAGCTCCTTCGATAAAAGAGAGTCGAGGCTCAACTTCATAGCTACTTCCCTTCTGCGATAAGGAAAAGGTATTAAATTACACAGATCAGTTAACACAAGCAACATCCCAGCAGAAGCATTAAATTTTAACTACTGTTTAATTAAAGAAATGGAAGCTTTAGTAATCTAACAACAGTTACCAAAGAGATCAGGCAACCAACAGAAAATTTAGTAAACTAAATGAGTTAAATTCCTCTAATGCTGACCAAAACGGCTGAAACAAAGGTAATCTCCACTCAAAGCACATTAAGACAAATAGTAAAAAGCTAAAAAATGTGAAGGCTATACATGCAGGAGCTTGTCATCTTATATTACCTTAAGGTTGGCCTGTGAAATATCATGTAAAAATGCCTTTAGTTCATCAGTCACTCCACTAAATGGGTAAAAGGTGCTTTTACATTGTCCATCAGCGCCATAAAATGAAATCTGCCACAGCAGTGTAAGATATCAAATGAAGATTACTTCTCAAATATAAATGCTAAATGTTAAAAGGAAAGAAAATAAATTATTGTAACAGTTAAATGAAACTAGACAACTCAGAAAGAGCTCGAGATTTTTGCAGCCCCACGAGATGTAATTGACAACAAGAGATCGAGTTTTGCAATACCGTGTAACCATGTTGTCCCCCTTGGTTTCCACGCCCAACTTCCACTGTTCCATTTAAGCCAACAACTCGCCATAATATCTGAAGGAACTAAAAGATGTGAGAAAGAATAACTTATGCATTCAAGATGTTTGAAGTAAAATCATCACTTTGCCACTTGCCTTGGGTGATCTTGAGGATACGACCATAACAAAAACTCCAGAACATCCATTCTCCAGGTGACTAAGAAACGAAAAAGTACATGCAGTGACTTTTAGGCTTCCAACAGAATCAGGAAATGATTTGGTTGAAAATCAACTTCATGCATAAGAAACTTACAAAACTGAGGAGATGTTATCAGGTGGTGGCAAATTTTTATCTACATGAGAGGTCATAGCTGAAACTGAGGTCACTTCACATCCAACAAGCTGTTCAAATGAAAGCATGATTTAGAAATCATAGTTGGATTTAAGAGAGCAATAAATATTAACATGAAAGCCTGATACCCATTGAACAAGGCTTGATTGGCCTCAATTATACAAGTTTTATTTACACAAAGAAACACTACTGCTATAACATTTATAGAATGCCCAGAATTAAGTGCATCAAAGGGGTATAGAAATTTTTCTTGATGAAGGAAAAAAATTTCGGAAAATCAAATTGCATGAATGACATAACTGTAGGATAAGGTTAAAATGAAGGATAAAGAAGGACTGCCATTCGCTATAAGACTGTGGTGCAATACATTGCCAGTGCAAATTTTAGAAGATCACATAAAGTCTGTGATATTGTTCCAAAAATATACGTGTATGAAGTCTGATATTGTAGTAGCAGAACATTGTCTACTAAAAAGCTTATCACATGGTATCTACAGGAATTGTTGGTCAGTAAGGTATATTTAAAGAGAGAGATTACCATTCTTAATCCTGCAATGAAGTGCACTCCCATATCTAGAATGAAACCCCCCTGCCAAAACAGAAGATACACTAGTCAATAATTGCAACAATAAACGGCTTAAGCATGGTAAAATCAACTAGTTTCCCTAACAAGCATGCAAAGCACAGCTTGAATGAGGTTCCATTAAGATATTTAATTCAAGGAACCACAATAGACTACTGTAATTTACATCAGTCAAGCAAGAAGAGCAAGGTTCTGCTAATCCATTGGCACTGGAGAGGGGCATATCAATCTAGAAAGATAAAATTCACTCCTCTCATTTTTTAGGGCATATTCCTAACACAGATAAGTAGCTTGTGTAAAAAAGTTGAAATGCAAACAGCAATTGCTTTTATGAATCAACAAAAGCTTCTGATTGTATAACTAAACTATATTATAAACACATACTGTAAAATTCCGCCGCCAAGAGCTCGAGAAGTAAGGGTTTGCACTGTTCATTGATGCTTCAATGATAAGTTGGATGCTCATCATTTCCCCAATATCAGCCATTAATTTCTTGCACTGTGGAAGCAATAATGGGTAAATTGCAACTGAGAGTATCTTACTATCTTGAACATCAAAGCAAATCAGATATATGAAACAATTACCTCTACCAATGCAGGTTCAAACCTATAGTTTTCTGCCACAGCCCAAATTGGATAACCAGGCGAATTAGCACAAATAGATTTGTAGCTTGACAGCGCGGTTTCTATTTCACTTGTAGCTGCATCATCAAACAATTATTCGATTGCTTACAAACTAGAAACTTATGAGCATAGTGTATGCATAAAAGTGTTCGTTTCGAACAGGACTGCTAATCAATATGTTTTGATCTGGAGATTTCTCTCAACAACAGAAAGGACTGGAGCAGATTTCTTGAAAGCAAAAGTGGTAATTATCTTCCCCATCAATCTATGGTATTCGATACTAGATGGGTAAAGTCCAGAAGGAAAAGAGAATCACATTAATAATAGAAGCATATTTTCTTGTCCAAAAAAGTGCCATTATTAGGCTACTTTCTTGCCAAACTGAATATAATTGAATAATGGCTTTGTTTGGACAAATCTATTTGTGTGAATTTGATGCTCTCAAGACATGATTTGTGGCTTGCAGAAAGGATGGCCCCTATATACTTTCTTATCAAAACTGACACAACAATCAAGATCGAATATTGGTATGATCGGACAATGATCTCACATTTAATGAAGGGCATCAATCTGAACTTAATGTTTCCATATCTCTTTTATCACCTACTCCTTTTATTGCAAAATATACAGTTACATTTTCTCTATTCTTCATATTCAACCTAAATGAAATGAAGAGTTCTTTAACCTGCAAAAATTCCATAAAAATTTAATCTCGTGGGATGATTTTCATTCCTAAATATCATGGACAGGCTACAGACAACCACAAACGGTCGTATTATACTTACAAGATGCTGCTGGTTTCTCTTCAGATCAACCAAGTTATCCAAGAATTGCAGATGAAATGCCCAAAAAAAAAAAAAAAAAAGGTCAGAATAATGCACAAATGAGAAATGTACATACAACAACGAATAAATATATATATCACCAGTAAAATATCCATCGTTATTTATTATTCCATATTTTTTTAGTTTGTTTTTTGTTACAATTTGGGGATGTCTTAGGAAACAACCCACATCAATCTGAACTCAAAGAAGCATATGGGTCTATTTTATAAAACAAAACTAGCAAAAATGCCTTCATTTTGCGACTATTTAAAGCTTAATCACCTTGAAGGACATGCTTCCCTGCCTTTAGTAGCTTTAGTGACATATCGACCTGCATAAATAAGTGAATCTTACTGAAAAAGTACTTGTCAAAGCAGAAGATTTTTAAGAACATAGAAGAAATAGGATGCAACCTAGCTGAAAATTAGAAGATAGCCTGCTCCAAAAACATCTCCTAAACATGGCCAAAGCTAAACGGCAGGCTCCTGTACATTGAGTTATCATTTTGTTATGTTTCCTGCTTAATTTTGAAACATCTTACTGTATATTTTAGCTTGGCACTAAGCTTATACTGACAGTATGATAAGCAGAAAGGCTTCTTTAGGAAATTCTTTAATTAACAATGAATTCGATCATTAGGAATCAGATTCTTGATTCAGAATTAGAAAAATTCAGCAATCAAAGAATGCAATACACCAAACAAGAGCAACTATTGTAGATATGATGTTACAGTTTCATACTTTCATGACTGAGTGGTCAAATTAAGAAACACACTAAGCTTTATCCCCATAACATAATCAAATTTGAATAAACAAAATTGATGACAAACCTGAGTTTGTCCAGCAAGAACCACAGCAACACCAAGAATTGACTCATCTTGAATAATTTCATCAAGACCCTTGTCACCCCACTTGCATTCCACGCCAGGAAAATGCTTCTTTGCTACCTCCACTGCTCCTCTTGCAGATTCCTAAGCACACAAACATATACATCACTCAAGAAAAGAATCAAGAACTGAAATAAATAATGAGCAATTAATCACCTCAGAGCGACTCCAGATGGATTTAAGAACAAAAAGATCAGAGATCTCAGCTAATCTTGGAATGTACTGAGTCTTGACAAAGATTCCAGCTCCAACAATAGCTATTTGGGGTGGTTGGTTTGCCATTTCTTGAAAATCTTGGAAATGGTTTCTTGATTGAGGATGAGATTATGAACTACAAATAAATGACGGAAAAGAAGCAAATTTCAATTGGAATTTGATTAAGGTTATGAGGTGATTAATCACTGAGTTTAACAAAGCTAAACAAATTAGTCCTCATAGTTTCAAAACATATATATAGTCCCTGTATTTAAACATATATTTACATATTAGTCCTTTCATTAATTTCACTCTCTTTCCTATTTATTTTTTCTTTTGGAAAATAGAAAAGAAAAGATGAAGTAGCTAAGGTAGAAAATTTTGATGACGAAAGAAGACACATTTTTAGAACAAAAACTACTAAATTGAGTGTGGTAAAAAGTGGTAAAGGGATTATTTAATGATTCGTTATATTATAGAGATCAATAATTAGTATTGATAAACTACAGGGACTAATGATTATTAGAGAGAGACAGATGTTGTTTAGGCTTACGTAAGGAAAAGAATTTTTGATGTTAGTCTAAACTTAATTTCTTGCAAGTTTCACGTTTGTTGACTATCAAAAATGTCACTTTGAAGGGGAAAAATTGTGTAAAAAGAAGAGGAAAGAAAGAAAATTTCATGCTCGGAATTTATATGTTTTCTACTTTTCTGAGTATTGTTATCTTTTCTAACAGTAGTTTTAATCATGGTTGTATTTTTTTTATGTTAAATGATTTAAATTTCTTCTGAATTTTAAATCATTTAAAAATCAGTTTTTTTAGTTTTAATTTTAAGTTGGATCTCTCTTTAACTATTTTTCATTTGAAATTAAATCATTTTATTTAATTTTCATCAATTCTAACAATAATATATATATATATATCTGACAAGTGATTAACTTTTTAAATTAATTAATAGCTAAAAATATACCAACATGTTTTGGAAGGGAAAAAAAACAAAATATCTATAAATTTTGATAAATTTTTAACTACTGACTTTAAAATTAATTAAAAAAACCAAAAAAAAAAAAATGATTCAATTTCAAATAAAAAAATAATTAAAGAAAAAATCAATTTTAAATTGAAAATTGAGACATTATTTAAAATTATAGAGAGGTTTGTACCGTTTGACCTACTTTTACATCAAAGTCCAACCTTGGTCCAAAATGTAAAACCCAACCCATGAGCCCAAGACCACATGCAAAGTGAAAGTGTGTTTCTTTCTTGCCATCTAAAATAGGCTAAAGAGCAGCTCCTTGCCATTGTACGGTTTCTTCCTCTACTGCACAATTTACTTTCTAGATAAAAAATAATTTCAACAAATAATCACTGCTAGAATCTGACATTAAGGGTTCACAAAGAACATGAAAACTTAGGGCAAGTTACTTACCAGTAACTTAGCCATCTATATTAGAGGCCCTTTGGCAGCAGCACAGTTTCTTCTGTTACATTATCTATCATGCTGCAATTTGAAAATACAACAGCAATTTTAACAAACAATTCACACAATCACCTTTGATTCTAGGGCTGCAATACAAATTTACATTCATCTCTCATCATCCAATCCGGACAAGGATGTAAGGTATTCAAAGTAAATCTGGACATATTACTAACATACTAGTCTGAAAACAAAGACCTGACTTTGGAACTCAACAAACTTATTGTCAGGCTCAAGGGTTTGGATAAATATATCTTCTCTAGGTTCATCGGTCACTCCACTTTGTGTAGCATATTCCAATGCCATTTCATAGTCCACCTGCAAATAAAAGTTCATACATGTCAAAGGAATAGAAGAGATTTATATGCAGGGAAAGAAAATAAGAAAGGAAGAGGACCAGAAAAGCTAGGAAATCTGACTTGAAATTGACACACAGGGCTGTTATAAGCATGCGAGAGAACCAACTTAGCCAGAAAATTGCAAGACAGGTCGAATATTTTCATTGATGTTTCTAGTGTCAATTTTCAATAGGTAGCAACATCTTAAATCTTTTTATTATAATCATGTATTGATAATAAGAGAATCTTATATTCTCCAACCCCAGCTATCATTAATGTAACAGCCATCGAAACCATAGCTAGGATGCCTCAGAAAAACTAAAATTGTGAGTAAAACCAAACTAGCTCACCTTTTCAACATGCTCAGCAAGCTTTTCCTTTAGTGTCTCTTTTGTTATCAAATTAGCTGTTATGTTGCCAAGTATCTCTGCTTCCTCTCCGGCATAACGTTTCTTCTTTGATGCATGTAACTGTGACATGTGTTTCAAAACATCATATACAGCATTGGTTGCATCAGGGATATACCTGCCAGTTCGTCAAATTTTGTTTCAGTACATGCAAAGAAGAAAAGAATAGCACATTTTGGTCTACTCTCAAGAGAACAGGTTGGGTCAATAAGAAGTACCTGCTTAAATTTCGTTTTCTCTCCTGTTGCTCACGGGCCTGCATTCTCTTCACAATTTTGGACTTTAGCTGGATGCAGCATTGCTTAACGGCAGACTAGAAGGTTGATTTTGTTAGCTAACTCACAAATTCCACTGCTTAGATCAAAGTGACAAATATTGGAAAATAAAGAAAATCCACCTTGACAGCTGTAGCTATCTCATTAATATCATCTCCAATATACTCCTTGCCAGTGCCTTTAAAAGGAATTTTTGTGCTCACAATGCTGACAAAGACACCAATTTTGTCTTGCGTCTGGTTAATCTTGTAACTCCCCCAACTGAAAGAACATTTCAATAAACATTTGATTTCATTAACTAAGAGAATATCCTTTCTGCCTCCCATGCCCAACTCAAAATATTCAAAAGAAATTGATGTACTTATATCTTACTTGATTCTCTTGAGTGCGGTCCTAGTGACAACATCTGCCCCTTGCTCAAATAGAAGTGGAATGCGATTTGCAAATCGAAATATATTTAAACCCTGTAGTTTAGATGTATAGTTTCACGGGGTGATAATCACACAGAATTCGAAATAAGAAAAAAGAATTAATTATATGGAATACTTGAGACTAAGAGCAGCAAATACACAATCACAGAATTTGCACAAATGCCGTTAGCAACTATGATCAAGTATGCATGCACATGCATCCTTATGTATGCTTGTATAACTGCTACACCTGATAAGCATTTATGTGGCTCTACTATTGATGAAAGGTGCAAGTAATGTCATATTGCTTTTCAGAAGCTACCTGGCAAAGCAATTGCTGATACCTTTTACTTCTCTAGTGGAAAAGTAATTCTTTGATTTATTTTCAATTTTACAAAGAAAGGTGTACTGTAAACCCATTACATACAAGCATCTTTCTATAATTCTATTCACAAAGCAAGTATTTTCCCATAGGAAGAATCCTAGATTCCATTTGTTTTCTGGGTTTGGAAAAGTGCAAATTTTCAAGAAAAGGAATCTTATGATATGTTGAGAATCCCTTACGATAATCATCCGTGCACCATTCCCCATTAAACTGGGACGTGTACAAACATGGCTGCCATATCGTCCCAAAACGACGCCAGCTACCACTTCTGGGTGTTGGGTTGTGGTTAAATAAAAGTCCTTAATACCTGATTTTAAGGTGCTGGGTTTGATCTAAACCTACACGGAATTCCTAACTTAGATCTGATTTGTGTCATCAACATCGCAGCATTAAGAGAGAAACACTTACTTGTTTAACATCCTTTCCACCCACACTGACACCAGCTTCCACAATAAATGGGTGACCCTCAAATACTTGCGCACTGCATTTAAAGGTAGAAAGGCCCCGTTTAGAACATTGTTTATCCTTTAATAGAAAAACAAGATGGGGAGATTAGTCATATATTTTGGTTCCAATACCAATAACTATTTTACCATGCTGGTTGGCTATAGTAAGAAGATATACAGAGCAAACAGAGATTTGAATACAACCTGCCTGAATAAGTTGCAACCATTTCTGGATGCAGCTCCTTTATAATTCCAAGACGAAGATTGTATTCCCCTGCAGGACTAAGACACTGCAAATAATTTGTAAGAAACGTGCTAAGCTATTAAAATTGTATTCTAAAAGTAGAGTAAAAACGAATATAAAGTCAGGACAATCATGTTAGAGAAATCATGATTAAAAATTGAAAACTGAAACTAGAGTGCAAACCAAACAATAAAAGACCAAAAGCAACTTACATCACCAATGGGATCGTCAAATTTGGCTTGGCGAAACAACTGATGGATGCGAACTATCTGCTGATCAGTCAGAGACTTGACAGCCATTTTTGGGCTAAACTCTGAACCCATTTCTCCTAAAACATTGGAAAGGATTATTGTTACAACCACAGAATTGTATTGTCGACTTGCATACAGATATAGTATAGATAGAAAACTTCTCACCAACTAATCGTTCAGCAAGTGACTTTCCAATGTTTACAAATTCATGCTGTAGAAACTGCAAAAGGTTCTGTTTTGAGGTTTCTGCAATGAGGCGTTTTATCAGTAGTAAATCAACAGATGATGGATGGTGTTTTGTCTCGAGAGGAACTGGAGGCATTACATCAGTTCTCCGTGCAAATTTTATGGTAACATTCTTACTGCAAAAATGAAAGTTGCATGTGCTTGATCAGAAAGATGATGCATAATAGTAGCAAGTACATGCATAAATGAGAGATAGAGAGACAGAGGGAGCATACTCGGGTGCATCCGATATAAATCTGAAAAGAAATTGGGCATATGGAGTGATAACAGCCATTTGCCTCATGTAATGTAATATCTTGGACTGCACATATACAACAAAACACCACTACTTATAACTGAAAACACACCAAACCATACTGCTAAATATGACTGCAATGCATTGATAAATTCAAAGTGTACAATGAAATATTAACATAGGCAAATCATGGTCTACATACTCGATAAGTTGTCCAATTTCCCTCAATGACAACTTGAATTTCAGCTCCATGCCACCTAACATCATTGTTCCGTTTTTCATGCAAATGAATATGAGGAATGTTCCTGATTATTACAAAGAAGCACCATAAATAGTCTGATAAGGAGCTAAACATAAAACTCAGAAACATTACACACATTCTTAGAACTAAACATAAAACTCAGAAACAACATGCATATGTATGTCTAAGACATGTGAATAAAAAACAAAAATAGATAGAAAAATTCATCAATTATGGAACACAAAAACTCCAGATTTATAAGACAATTCTAAAACACTCCAAGCATTCTGTCTATTCCTAAATTTGAGACATACTGATGAATATCTATGTCCAGCCTGCAGAATGAAATATATTTTTGGCCGCTCATTGATGACGAGATCTCTATAGGAAGCCCTGTACTCATTTTGGACCATATCAATGCCTGCATAAGTAAAATACAGTAAATTAAGATCAATATTGTCAGTTCTATATCATCATCATTATGTATCGAAGAATGTAAATCAAATCAATCAAATAAGCTTTGGACAAGAGGAAACATCAGAGCTATAAAGTCTCCCTTAGCTTGAACCAATCACCAGCAAGCTTAATTATAGACCATGTTCATTTAATGCAGCATTCACAATCCATAACCATAAGATGCAATTTAGCTGATATATTGTCATCTGATTTCCGTAAAGTGGTGAGACAGACTCAGATTTATCCCAGCACTGAAATTGGGAGAGGGAAACCAGATACAAGGATAACGTAGCATGATGCTTGAGAACTTATTCCAAATTGCAGTTGCAGTGATGCATAGTCATGCATGCAGCAAACAGCAATGAAAACCATTACCATTTTGGCGCCAAGGCCAAACTTCCCACGAGTCTGCTTAAGGCCATATTTCGTCCCAGACAACACTGCATACAACGTAAACTCAAAATCAAGCTCATAAAAACTAATATTCATTTATGTTCAAATAACAAATCAAATTCCCATGAAAACAACTTAATATAAAAAAACATGAGTTGCCAAGTGACAACCAACCTCGCCCAAACATATTTGGGATGTCATCATGCGGCATTCCTTTCCCATTGTCCTGCATTTAAAATCAGTCGAGGGTCATTAGACTTCACACCTTCAGAGAAAATTTTGGCATTAGCTCAGAAACACATTAACAACACCACAAAATTAAGAAAACACACGAAACAAAGAATACTAGAGAAAACGTTGAGTAGTAAAGTAAATCACACCTTGCATGTAACTCTGTAAAACGAAGCCTCACCTCGACCCTTCATGCCCTTCGTAGCTGACTGTTCTTTTACTTTCTTCCCAAGGGCAGCATTCTTCGTTTGTACTTCTTGAGCGCGAGCTTCCTTCGCTAATCTTTTCTGCACAACGCAAAACGCACCAGAAACAGTTTAATTCCCACAAACCGCCAAACCCAATATCAGAATTCAGAATTCAGAATTCAGAATAGAACAAAACACGCAAGCACACACCTCACGAGCCTTAGCTGTCTCATAATCATCATAAAGTGCCGCATCAACACGCTCTCGATCAACAAGACCAATCATTGAATTAAACTTACTTTTCCCTATCTCTTCACTGCAACAAATCAAATAAATTTAGCTGAGCCTATTCACACATTCACATACACAATAAAAATAGCATCAATTAAAAAACTGACATGGTAATTTCTACGACAGGAAGTTCCGATATTGATTCTGCCGAATCAAGCGAATTTTCTACGAGTTCTCTCACTGTAGTATAAAGAGATTTCCCTGGCTGAAATTCACAATAACTTTCAACTCGTCAAAACAAAAACTACTAGCTATCAAACTAATAAATGACAACTGCAACTTACATTATCAAACCCAGCAATGTTCTTGTTCTCTGCGAAAAATTCAGCTGGAGATTCTGCATAAAAATAATAATAATAATAATAATAATCAAACTCAGAAACAAAAAGGTCTAACTAAAATAGGTTTTTTTTAGTATGAATCCATAGAAAGAAGGACTAACTTTGCTTGAGAACGCTTTCTTTGGGTTTTCTTGGAGTCTTTGCTCTGCCTTTCTTTGTTTCATTTTGGCTTTGGCTTTCACTGCTAACTCCAATTTCCATTTTAAAAAATAAAAAATAAAAATAAAAAATCAAACTCAGAATCCAAAAGGGTCTACTTAAAATGGGTTTTTCAAAAAAAAAAAAAAAATTGACCTTGTGATTTATTTTTTATTTATTTGTTAAAATATTTTTGAAGCAAGAGAAATGCAAAAACAGTTGATCTTAGGGTTTCTGAGATTTTTGAGGAGTTTGATTATACAGTGCGATGGGCTGTAGGAGATAACTGCAGGGTTTGTTGTAATTTACGGTTGTGATCTGCTTGCTTGTGATTTGATTCATTTAACGCTTCAGATTGGAAAAGAGTTTATTGATGGCTGATATTAGGGCTAAGAAAGGATAAGAAGCTTATATGCGTGTGCTACAGATGAATATTCACTCTTAAAACCATTCTCCCGCCAATATTTAGACGTTTTTTATCTTCGAAAATGGGGAAGATTCTACGCTACTACAAAGCCAACCAATTAAATATTTACACATATGACAAAAAAATATAATTAAATCAATAAATTAACCAAATCTTGGAAAATGGTCCCAAGAGGCTGGCCTCTCTCTCTCTCTTCCTTGGAGATGGCTGGACTGATTACCGTCCAGTCTTTTTTTTGTTTTTGTTTTTGTTTTTTTGTTTTTTATGGCAGAGAGGTCTGGGCTGGACTGATTTCAGTCCAGCCCCTCCTTTTGTTCAGCGTGGGTTAGGCGTGGCCCAACCCAAGTTTTTTTTTTTAAAGTTTCCCGGGTAGGACTAAGCCCACTAATAGCATTTCTTTTTTTTTTTTTTTTTTTTTTGGGACCAAATGAAACTTGTCAGATTTTTACTCTTTCTCCTCATGTTCCTATTTCTGTGCTTCTGTTCTTTATTTTTTTTACTTTTCTTACCCTTGCTTTCACAGGAGTTAACTAACATCTTTTTTGAACGAAAGTCTCACTGATTAAACCATACTCGTTTTTATTATCTCAACAAACTAAAATTAACGCTTGGATATCAAGAAAATCGAACGACGAAAATAACAGCAACAAAAAAAATAATAATGAAAAGGGGAAACCAACTGACCTGGTGTTTCTAGCGATATTGATTATTGGGGTGAGCCAGATTATGGACACAAAGAAGGAATTCTGGGACGATTTCTGAATATCAAAAAATTTATTTATTAATGAAATTCAAATCATTTGAGGTTGAGTCTTTGAACTTTTTTATTAATTTTGAAAATTTTAAACTTTTAATTTTTCGGATTTAGTCCGTCATTCAATTTTCTATCATGTATTTCAAAAAAAAAAAACAATCAAATAAATAGTTTTATGATAAAAAGTATTGAGTAATAGTTATTGTCGCTATCCGACGTCGGACGGAACTCTCAAAAATTAAATTCCTATTTATAGAGTTTATTTACAAGTTCGGAGTTAGATAAAATGTTTATTTATGCCAAATTATTTTTTGATTTTAAGCAGCAATTTTAGCCAAATTAAATTTTTTAGTTTTGGGCATGACATCATTTTAAAACGATCGTCGGTCCCCTTTATCGAGTGACACATAGGATCTACTTTAGGCTTTAACACAACCGGTATGTCGGAGGACATCCCGATTATTAAATGGTGATTTTTGATAACGACGGTTCCTATCAAATAGGAACCTCATTATGAAATAACAATCCCTATTAGGAAGAGACTTCGTTGAGAAATTACATGAATTAACAAATAATTACAAAAGATTCTAAAATACATGCATAAAATTAAAAGGGAATTACATTAATTAAAATAATAAAATATCAAAATTAAATACGAAATGCTAAGCATAAAAAAAAACTAAGATTTAGATTACAACCAATCTTCTTTTTTTTTCTATTATTATTTTTTAATATTTTTTTATTATATTTTTTCTGGGAGAGGCTGGACTTCATCTCTACATTATATATATATATATATATTTTTTTTTTTATTTATTTTTTTTTTTAAAAAAAAAGGAGAGGGGTAAGGGAGGAGAGGCAGAGGCTGGCCTTTTCTCTCTCTCTCTCTCTCTTTATTTGGAGATAATCAGTCCAGCCCTTTTTTGTTTTTTTTTGTTTTTTTTTTTTTTCATGGCAGAGAGGTCTGGGCTGGACTGATTTCAGTCCAGCCCCTACTTTTGTTCAGCGTGGGTTAGGCTTGGCCCAACCCATTGTTTTTTTTTTGTTAAAGTTTCCCGGTAGGACTAAGCCCACTAATAGCATTTTTTTTTTTTTTTGACCAAATGAAACTTACCAGTTTTTTACTCTCTCACTCATGTTCCTATTTCTCTGCTTCTGCTCTTTATTTTTTACTTTTCTTACCCTTGCTTTCACAGGAGTTAACTCACGTTTTTTTTTGAATGAAAGGCTCACTAATTAAACCATCCTCGTTTTTGTTATCTCAACAAACTAAAATTAACGCTTGGATATCAAGAACATCGAATGAAGGAAATAACAGCAATAAAAAAGATAATAATGAAAAGGGAAAACCAACTGACCTGGTGTTTCTAGCGATATTGATTATTGGGGTGAGCCAAATTATGGACACAAGGAAGGAATTCTGGGATGATTTCTGAATATCGAAAAATTTCTTAACCGGTATGGGATGCCTGAATCACTTCCACAGTCCAAGAATTAGTCCCAGCAGTAGCAGCAAGGATGACCACGAACCCAGATATTTAAGAACACCTTCAACGGCTGCCCAGAAATCCGAAGAAGGAAAATCGAAGAAAGCGAAATCAAACCCCCCACACTGGAAATAGGAATTAAGAATCGTAGGATGATCATAAATGAACCCAGAGAAACCAAAAATGATTGAGAAACGAAGCCAATTATGGATGAATAAAAACCCAGAAATGAAGATCATAAAGAACACTTCCCCAGAAAACCCAAAAAATGCAGCTAATATTTCCCCTAAAATCACTCGATTGTTGATCTTTTTCACTCTCTCCTATCTACGCAGAATGCTCCTTTTCTCTACCCTGAATTCCCTTTCCTTTCTTTTCCCAAAATTTCCTCCTCTTTTCTACCCAGGATGCTGCCTTTTTATAGACACTGACATGCTTGAGTTTCATCTAAAATCAACTACTTTCAAATTCGAATTTCATCCAAAATCAAATACCTAAAAATTCGGATTTTCAGCTGTCCAATTGGAATTCAACTTCTGTTATCGAAATATGATCCTGATTAGTTAAACAACCGAGATGAATTGAATAAAAATGAAGATTGAGATAGACTTCAATCAGTTTCCCCTTACTTTTTTTTTTTTTTGTATTTATTATTTTTTTACTTTTATTTTTATTGTTTTTGTGTTTTTTTTTCTTTTTTTCTTTTAAATAATAAAAATGAAGATTTTTCGGTTATGACAGTTATATAGAACTTTTAAAAAAATTTAAGATCATTTCAAATTTATTTTTTATTTTTTAATTTTAAAAAAAATAGCAAAAATTGAATTTTTTATTTTGAAGAATTCTAAAATTTTCTAAAAAATAGATTGAAATTTTTTTCAATAAATATGTTAAAATTTAAATCAAAATATTAAGAGTTGAATTTTTTAAAAGGGAAGATAATAGTTGAAAATCATTAAATAGAGTAGATATCAGAAAATTAAAATTTTAAAGATCCTTAAAACAAATAAAAAAAATTCAGAAACTTGATCTTAATTATTAATTAATTTGACATACTTAAATATTTTAAGATTAAAAATCATTTTATGTCATTGTACAATTCTTGTTTGGTTACTCTAACTCTCCCATCCGGTTGCGTTAGAAATTAAATCCAAAATGGGGACAAGATAGTATCCAACTCATTTAAAATGACATTAGACCCTCTTAATTTACCAATAAGAATAAGCCGACAGAATAGGCTTTTAGTCAATTGGGCATGTTTGGTCTGGGCTTTTCAGTTGTATTAGACTAGGCTTGTGTAGCTATTTGTTTCTGTTTGATGGCCCATAATTTGGAATGATTATCCAATGGAACAAGAATGGTCAAGTTCTATAATGTTTTTCTTGGTATTTTGAACTAATATTTTCACACATGTTAAAAAAAAAAAAAAAAAACCATTTTTAAAAAAATTTCAAGAAATTTTCAAAATTATAAGATATATTTGTTTATTTTTTGAATATTAAAAATATAAAAAATTGAAAAAAATAAAAAATAATCCGAAATGATTCTAATTTTTTAAAAGGTCTCGGTATAAATCTTATTGAATAAATTTTATCATGATATTATTTTTTTGATTGTTATTTTTTGAGGTAAATGACTGAAAACGAAAGAATATACTAAATCTCAAAAAATTAAAAGTTCAAGAATTCTAAAAACCAAATTTAAAGTTTAAGAATTTAATTTTAAATGAGTTAAAATTCAAAAAAAATTCAAATATCGACTAAAAGATAAATTCGAGTAAAATAGCTAATGCTAAATAGTAATGGATGTTGGTTAAATGGTTACTCCTCTAACATTGGCTTGTGTTATGTTATATATGTAGAGTTATGAGGTATCCTTATTGGTTTAGAGACAACATAAAACATTGGTTGTCGTCAAGTGCTTTCTAAGATATACTCTTTAATGGCTATTCATTTAATTCAATTATCGATAAGAAGGATAGGCACTTATGATCTTCTTGATTTGCAATTCAGACGACTCTTCAAAGAGATTAGCATATACATCTTACTCATGTTTAAGCGAATTACCTAGCATCTTATGCTTTTTTATTACTTTTTGGTATCACATATTTTCTCAAGGCACCGGATAATTGTGTGAAACTCTTTCACGAGGACTTTTGGGGGATAGATGTAATAGTTAATTCTTTTTACCATAGCTATGACTATCCTTTAGATCCTCTCTCTCTCTCTCTCTCTCTATTATATATATATATATATATATATATATATATAAAGGATTAATAATTGCGTCCAAAAATAACTGGTAAACGACAGCCTGTCGCTTGTCATCCACTTATCCACAAAGTAATCTGCATTCCTGCCATGGATGGATTTAGCGCCGAATACAACATACTTCG